TTTGTCACAATTGCAAAAATTAAGCATCTATGTCATAGAAAAGCTTGACAACAACAACTGAAAATTAATAAGGACAGCATGCAGTTCCACCTGGATGATTCAGATCAGATACAGTGAAAGTGTCGCTCAGCAACCAGTTGAAGTCGGCTGCTGTTGTCACTAACTTTTTACGACAATCAGCGGAGCGTTAAAGTGACAAACGTCGTGTTAACAAAAATTATTATCTTAAACCATTCATTAAACCTTAACTTATATTGTTAGGATTTTTTAATGTGTTCGAAAAAATGTACAATGACAAAGTATTTCCATTTTTTCGTCTTGTCACACTTTATTAAGTTTTATAGGATGTTATTAAAAATCATTTTTTCTATTTAAGCTTGCAAACTTTAAAAGTAAGATGAAAGAAGGGTGTTAAAAGTACTTGTACCCCTTTAAATACACTAAAATTACAATAAATTATTTACATTTATCATTTGCAATAATGAGCTATCTACACACAATCATACATTCCATATTAAAATTTGTTCCATTCACAAACTTTTTGTCCATTTAGATCAATGGAGTATGTTCTAAATCCAATAACAAACCAGAATTTTTTTTTCACTCTTAAACAAATATCTTCAATGAAATTTCCTGTCCCCAGAAACCATTAACTACAATTTTGTGTGACAAAAGCTTGTATTAAGTCCACTATAGAAAATCCATATTTTTCACCAGAAGCAGATGGCCACAGCTTAAGTCGTCTGCTTAGAAAAACAATACAGTCATTACAACAGTGGTCATTTATGTCCCAAGCGGTCAAATAAGGTTACAATGTCTTTATTAATGTTAAGATGTTTATTTAACACTGCCATATAAGTTTATAAAAACTAGTGCACATTAAACGAGCCCTGCAAACAGAGTTCAAACATTATTCTGATAATATATAATGTTATACATTTGTCCTAACACTGATCATTATTTCTAGCAATTATACCAGTGCTGCAAACAAACTAAATACATGTTCTATAATCAGCTTAAAAAACTGCAGTATTTCTCATACAAAACAACCCTTTAATTATATCATACCATTTGAGATAAAGGCTTGCAGTTTCCGCCTATATATAATTACACTGGCTTTCTGTCGACTCCCTGTTGTAGTTTTTTACAAAATTGTATACAATATCTGTAATACATGTAAAACTATTCGCCACTTATGGCATAATTTCCTATGACCATATATAGACTTACGATAGATATTATAACAAGCTACTTGATCAAGCAAAGCAGACTGGCTCCTGTTTCAGAACAGACTGGCTCCTGTTTCAGAACAGACTGGCTCCTGTTTCAGAACAGACTGGCTCCTGTTTCAGAACAGACTGGCTCCTGTTTCAGAACAGACTGGCTCCTGTTTCAGAACAGACTGGCTCCTGTTTCAGAACAGACTGGCTCCTGTTTCAGCACATTATATTTTTCTGCTCCCCTACATCCTGTATCATTACTTAAACTTACTCTTTTAACCTCCGGATTTGCACTGCCTTGAATTTGGAACATCCCATTCAAACTTAAGGGGTTTAAACATCAAAATGCAAAAATTGAGATAACACCTATACAGCCTGGTCAGACTGGATGGATTTACATGCTACCATGGCTTAAATGTACTAAGTGGAAAATTAAGGCTTATCACTTTGCTTGCATCAGGTTTATTCTTTAAACTTAAATGACAGTTAACACAAAACCCATGTTTTAGAAGAATTAAGTATAGACTGACAGCACTCAAATTCAGTTTTTTTCTATCAAAAGTTCCATACTGCCATGGTTACATAAAATCAGAATGTTTTCTATATGTTTTCAAACAAGATGTTTAACTTAACCCATTACTTCATGAGCATTTTGTGAAAAATGGCTGTTTTCATTGAAAAGTCTCCCGTTATAAGTTCAAATTGCTATAATACTATAAAAACTGCTTCAACACTAATCAAACTTGGCACAAATGTTGACTGGACCATTGCCCTTGCAACAACATGCTCAGGCTTAAATTTTCTGTTACCATGGCAACGAGGGGACATCTCAAAATTGCCAAAAATCACTATTTTGCGTTGATTTTTTCCATCAAAATTGATTTCAAAGTGCTGCAACTTCTAAATGGATTGAGATAGAGTCAAATGCTTTTCAGGGTTGGTTACACGTTACCTTATGATCAATCTGGGGTCATTTACAGCCTCTCACAAGTCCAAACTTTTCTTGGCGATGAGGGGGACTCCGCCCCCCTTCAAACCCCCCCAAAAAGAAGGGGGCACATCCCCCTTCTGGCAACCCCCTGATGTACTTTTTGGTTGGGGGGCCGCGCCGAAAAAGAGGTCACTTTTTTTAACAACATTTCTCAAACAAAAACAAGTGGTTTGGGCCTAAATAAGGCATTTTTTCATCTTTTGAGACAACAAAAAGGGGGGGGGGGGGAAGGTGAAAAAGGCGTTAAAAGGCGTGTATATGAAGTAATGGGTTAACAGAAAATGATGAAAATACTTGAAATTACCCTTAATCGCGTTTTTTCATGTTTAAACATGGTCTGTCATATAAATTTGAAGAAAAATTGTTGTTTTGTAGATTTTTTTTTTTTTTTCATTAACCCATTACTTCATGAGCATTTTGTGAAAAATGGCTGTTTTCATTGAAAAGTCTCCCGTTACAAGTTCAAATTGCTATAATACTATAAAAACTGCTTCAACACTAATCAAACTTGGCACAAATGTTGACTGGACCATTGCCCTTGCAACAACATGCTCAGGCTTAAATTTTCTGTTACCATTGCAACGAGGGGACATCTCAAAATTGCCAAAAATCACTATTTTGCGTTGATTTTTTCCATCAAAATTGATTTCAAAGTGCTGCAACTTCTCAATGGATTGAGATAGAGTCAAATGCTTTTCAGGGTTGGTTACACGTTACCTTATGATCAATCTGGGGTCATTTACAGCCTCTCACAAGTCCAAACTTTTCTTGGCGATGAGGGGGACTCCGCCCCCCTTCAAACCCCCCCAAACAGAAGGGGGCACATCCCCCTTCTGGCAACCCCCTGATGTACTTTTTGGTTGGGGGGCCGCGCCGAAAAAGAGGTCACTTTTTTAACAACATTTCTCAAACAAAAACAAGTGGTTTGGGCCTAAATAAGGCATTTTTTCATCTTTTGAGACAACAAAAAGGGGGGGGGTGAAAAAGGCGTTAAAAGGCGTGTATATGAAGTAATGGGTTAAGAGTTTACAATGCCCCATAATAAAAATATTATACAACCTTTGTAAATAAAAAAAAATGAGTATAAGTGAATATATTTTTTGTGCATAATTCTATATTTATATGGGATTTGTTAAAGAAGCTAAAGTGAAAAATTGATTTACTTACAAAATTAATACACAACTTTATTCTTCTCAAAATGTTTTACAGTTATTCTATGCTATATAATGACTGTTTATATAACAGACCAAAGATTATTTGATTGCAATATAAGACTTTCTTTTCTTTTTATAAAATTAAAAACTTGAGATTTCTTCCTCTTTTTAAGGTCAACATAAATTTTCCTGCTACAAATTTTCCTGCTACAAATCTTGTATTCACTCAACATCCAGTATTGATGGAAGAAACATAATAATGTAAGAAAGTGTCGCCTACGGTAACAATTTCACGATTAACTTCCTTCATATAATGTAGACCTTGATTGTCATTTTGATTAACTGAGCTTATCATCTCAATACAATGACCATCATGGGTAAAAAACATAATCACAGAACCTGAAGAATGTAATTCTAAATGACCTTCATATTGTCAATATGAAGCTAATATTTTTTTTTTTTTTGGCCACACAACCATGCTTAAACTGATATGGTGGCCAAGCAACTCATATGGTGACCACACTTAAACATATATGGTCACTTCCAAGCTTTACTGGGTACGGAAGACCTCAGTTGCACTACTATGCATCATTTCAGACATCAGCTGGCACAGGAGTAAAATGTTACAACCTTCAAGGCTTCTGTAAGCTAGCTGGATAGCTTTTTAAACGAAGGTTGAGGGATTCAAACTCACAGTGATGAGGAGCAACTGGTTCAAAGTCAATGACTCTAAGCACATAGGCACTATTAAGTTATTTTAAGTACAATTATAATTGAACATTCAACATTACCAATATCATCTTTTTTGAAACTTTTTTTAAAAAAAACTCAAAAAAAAAAATTCTTAAATTCCTATCTATGTAAACACAAATTTGAAAGCAATAGACAGCTACTGGCTGATCAAATGGCTTGAATTGATTACTCATTAAAATTGTGTATGTCCTTAATTGGTTCATTAAACAGTTAATCTAAATGTTAACGATGCAGGTAATTTCTGAAAATCCTGAACATTGAAAACCTGGCTTCATGGTTGTTTCAATTAGGTACTCGTTATATCAAGCACTCACAAAAGAGATCAAAATGGGATAAAATAAATACATTACCACATTTTTCTAATGATAACTTTTTCAAATTGTGTGCAGTTAATATAAATACAAAAAAAATAATTCTATATTTAATATAACTTGTGCATTCAAACTAAAGCTAACATATATGTTAGATATGGCACTGAAGGAGAAAGTCTATATAATCAGTAATCAAAATAAATTTTAGAGAATTAAAGTAGACAGAATAAATTCTGGTACACCGCATGAAACTGTAATCAAACAGTTTTATTTCCTGGCAACATTTTAGAGAAATTAACACATGCCATACACTGAAACTGTTACCTGTATATACAATATTCAACTAACCGATTTTCCTCTATATATCTGAAATTTTATTACATTCAAAGCTGCATTATGCCAGTTTACAAAAAAATAAAAAGAGCATTTAATATAAGTGCATTTCAAGGTGATTTACAGCAATCAAGATGCAGAAAATTCAAGTACATCAAGCAACAGATAATTTTCAAAATTCTAAAATGCCACATGCAAACTACCATGGCAACCAACAACAAATACCAAATTCGCTCACCTTCTTCATTTTGAACATCTTCACTTTCATCAAAGCACTGATTGACCCCACTATCTTCAAGGTCAGAGCCAGGAACAAGGTCAAGGCTGTCACACTGATCAGAGTCAATGTCAAGGTCACCTGACATGATTTTATGATAATCCTCATCCTCTGACAAGGCAGCATTTACAATAATCCTACCCTCACTATCAGTTGGTGATGTGAAGTCATTGTCAAGCATCATTAAATTACTTGTAGTTTCTAATATCTGTAAATCAAATCCATGACCTTCCTCAGAGGTCGTGTCTGACAGTTCTTCATCACAAATCAGCTCAATACTGTCCATTCTAAATGCTTCATCTTCCTTGTCCTTCAAACTTGCATCCACAAGAGCACCTTTACCATGAAAGCTCATTTCTGTTGTGTTGCTAGGAATTATGCCAATAACCAATCTATTCTCTTCTAAATTACTTGTTTTAAAATGCTTTTCATCTTCTATGTTTACATTATTTGCATTTTCTGCCTGGGCATTTTCAAGCTTAACTCTATTCTGATGGCTAAGATTATCTTCTAAACTTAATATCTCATGATCACTTTTCAATTCAACCAGATCAGACACATCTGTTAATGATTCTTCTAAGTCTTCAAGCAGAGCAAATTGCATAACATCTTCTGCTTCATTTACAGCACCAGTCCTTTCTTGCATCACCAATTTTGACCCATCCTGAACAATATCAGGTACAGAATTACTATTATTTTCACATGTATTTTCTTCTTGACCTTGCACAATGAATTTACTTTCATTAACATCATGTATCTCAGGTACTGCTGTTTCTAATTCCACACCATTTTTGACCAGAGAACATTGTTCAATCTCATTTGCATTCAAAACAACTTGCTCCTTTCCCTGCAACAATTCAATACCATTGCCACTTGGTTGCTCATCATTGCAAACAACATTATGGACAGATTCTGTGACCATTTTGTCATCAACAGATTGAATTTCTTGAACAATTCCATTATTTTCTTCAGATGTTAATTCCAAAGTGCGAAATATTTCTTGTTCATTCATAATCACATTCTCTTCAATGTCCCCGAAATCTGCAATATCACATATCTCATCACTCTCCGATATACCTTGGTTTTCATCAACATGTGTCACAATGTTTTGAGACAGATCTATTACTTGTAAAATATTACTGGAGGCTTCCTCGCCCTCAGTATTTACAATTTGTTCAGCAGCAATATAATCTAGAAGATCCATACATTGCTCAGCCTCTAAACCTTCTTCAAACATTTCATTCTCTGCATACATTTGTTCCACTTTGTCATTACCCAGACACTCAATCTCAGCCCTTTTCTTACTTGTTTGTTCATCTTGTTTAAGTTTCTCAATAAGTTGATGATACAAATCTGATGTACCTTCTTCCCTCTTGATGTTTTCAAGATCAGAGGCTTCATAGGACTTGACCTGACTAGAACTTAAATTACACTGATCTGTTTCATTTTCAGGCTCCATTGATTCAATACAGTCAACTGTTTTATACACTTCTGGTATCATTTCTATTTCATTTAAATCTTCAATTAGAGTACATACCTCTTCAGGTTCAACTGATTCAGTTGCATATTCAAAATTCTCCATGTTCTGTACAGTTATTAAGTCATCACTTTCTGAAATAGTTTGTTCACTCGAAACAGGCGCAACATTTTCAACTTTAACATCTTTGAATGTTATGCCATTTTCACTAGATTCAACTCCATCTGTACATGTAGAGTTTTGTCTTTCATCTTCTTCAAACTTTTTATCAATACCAGTACCATCTGGTTTAATGAGAGACACATCTTTTTCTTCACTTATGTCTGAAACATTATTTGCTGCAAAACATTTACGAGACATGTCTTCTTCCTCACTTAAGTCTTCCTCAAAACTAATCAGATCTTTTTCTTCTGTATCATTTTCATCTAATATACCTGTTACTTCTTCGACTTGAATTTGTGTATGTTCAATGTGATCATCATCTTTCATTGCAAGCTTATTTATTTCTTCAGTTTTGCATGCACTCCCATTACTGTCAGCAGTTTCTTTGTCAGGCACAAGTTTTTCAGGTTCATTGGTAGAAACATCTTCTACATCCATTTGCTCTTGTTCAAAGTCAAATTTCTCTTTTGTCTGATCAGAGTCTGTCTTTTCACAATATGATTTTACCACATTATCATCAACATCAGAAAACTCCACTGTCTCACTTACTAACTGAACTTCTTTATGAGACATTTCTATTATTTCTGCTTCTGTGTTATTATCCAATTTGTCAGTATCATCAGTTAAAAACTTGTTATTCTCTTCGTCTTTATCCATTGCAATTAAGTCGTAGAATTTTCAATCAAATTCTTCTTATTTGCTGACTAGCACCAACTTATTTAGCCACTGTGAGAAATTTTAAATCTTATAAAAGACACATACATACATAACATTCATGTCTGAGTATGAAGAAATAGTGCTTTAATCTACCAGCTTTTAAAATATGTACAGAAGCCCTGTCACAAATACTCCAAAAATGTTTTATTTGTGTAAGAGGAAATCCTTGCCAGACATTTCTTCTCTCTAGGAAATAGCCAAACAGGTTTATAGGACCTATTATACACAAAGAAGAAGAAATCAATTCCAATAAAGGACGACTAGAAAACTCGAAGTATTCAAAACAATAATTCCCACATGAAAACCAGCAGAGTATCGTTGGTTTTTCAACTAATTTGTCTTAATAAAATGAATATTTAAGCAACATTGGTATGCTTAACCCTTAACATGCTGAATTTCTTTAATTGATTTGCCCTGCTTTAAATATAGAACAGTCCTTGATTTCAATATTGAGCTACAAGTAGTATGAAGCCTCAATGTCAGGCTGTACAGATGTGCAAGCTGGCTTGGATCTATACTGGTTGCAAAGGCTAATCAGTTTTGATTACAGCCGGTTTAAGGGTTAAATTTTAACATATCTTGGTTTAGAATTTTGTTTAATGCTACTCAAGCAATCAAGCTTAAATATTAATTTCAATTTTTCATGTATACTTGCCTTCTTTAAAATGAACTGGCAGGGTTTTTTTTAAGTCTTATACATTTGTGTTTATTCAATCATTGTAATTTTATTCATAAAATTTTTTTAAAAAATTGCAATAAATTAAATCAAATTTACCATTTGAAGTTATCAAACATCATTTTTTTTTATTTTTTTTTTAACAAAAAATCTAAAGCTGTAAAATTCTTACAGATGGTATTCTAAGAAATTAATCTCTTAATATTTTGTTGAAAAATTTGAAACAAAATAATAGATACTCCCACTTTTAACTAAAAATTGTAGAAATTATAATATCTATATAAGTGTCAAGTTAACAAGCACTTCAATTAAGCTTTGCAAAGCAGCAAAAATATAGGAAATCTTTTCTCATTAACATTTCTAATTTCTTTATGATTCTATCATAAGTTTAGGCAGGAGCTTCATAAATAGGCAAAAACTACATAACTTCCAAAGCCAGCCACTTAACAACATGTGCTTTATGGTGCTTACTGTATTGAATTATTCAAAGAAACATATTAAACTGTTTAAGTAGATGTGCATTAGCTGCCAAAACTCTGATTACTTTATCTTTTTTGTTATTTCAGAAATTGCATTTTTTTTCTCTCCTTGAAATAGTTTCTTAGGATTACAAAACCCTACTGAATTTCCTATTTGTAAAAGCATAAATATCATATTTAGAAATAGGAACTATTTGAGACATTTTCATCAAGACTGGTTTTGTGATTCAAGATTCTATCTCTAATCTAGAGGATAGCTGTATTTAATAATTGAACCAGACAACAGAACAAATTACTTTTTGTAAAATATTGTCGAAAATGATGTTCTTCTGAGAGTAGTTCCAGAGATAAGTTTGAAACAGTGGCAAGAAAATTGAAGGCAGTGAAGAGAATATCAGAGCTGGGAAATCCATGATTTCACAAAAAAAAAATGTTCTTATATACTGTAGTCAAGATGCATAATTAATTAATCACTTGATATTAATGATTAAATGAGAAAAGTTTGTCATAATTTCTACTGAAAAAGGTCTTGTTTTTTTCTTATGTGTAAAGTTCAGACTTCTGAGGCATATTGGGCCTTAAAAAATATCAGAACCTTTACTTTTATGAAATGAAAATAATGAAGGAAGCTTATAGCAAAACATAAAAATACTATTAATATATCATTTAATATTTAAGTAGGGAGAGGGACAAAAGTTAAAAGTATCTCCAGATGACTTAGAAATTTTCAGATGAGACTTTAAATTAAAGTTTTAAGTATTGGTGCTTAATATGTGAGATTTAAAAAGCATCTAATTACTGTTTAAATGCAAGCTTTGTGGCACTTGCACCAGCATAAAAACTTAAAACCCTAATGGCAGTGTTGCTCTAACAGGCTTTTGATTTCAACTATATATTATATAATGTAAAGAAATAAGGAACACAAAAATTATAGAATTGAACTTTATCACGATGTACAAATGAAATATTACAGAAAACATTGCCCATGTGGTAAAAGTGGCTGCCTCTCAACCAATGTTTTTTGTGGGTCCAAATCCTGCCAGGGGCATGACCATTTTTCATCAACTGACCCAAGTACCCGAGTTACTTCCTGACAGCAGACTTGGGTGACTCATGTTTAAAAAAACTACGAGCTTTCTTTAAAAAAAAGCTAGAATAAATAACATTTAAACTAAATGTTTCCCTGTGGTAGATTACAAATTCTAAGACTGACTAATTGCCTTGTATTATAAAGACTATTTCACTGCCAAAATTTATACAAAAATATAGGAACTTGATTATACAATAATAAATTCATTAACGTATAATATAAACAAAAGTCTGCCAAGTTATAATAATACTGTCTTGTTTCTCTTTAAACATAATTTTCTGAGTTTTATAAATACAACAATATATTTTGTAAGAGATTTAATCTAACCAAAATAATAATATTTTGTCTGCAAAGTAAGTTACAATTAATTTCCAATTAACAGTCTTCAGTGTTTCAATAGATACTTGTCAAGTATCTTACCATAGAACTGTTATCTTAATCATGGCCGAGAGGTATGTCAGACTAGTAATCCGCATGGGTTCAAACCTTGTCATGGGGCAAGCCGTTTTTTTGTGAGCAAGTAACTTACACTCAATGCTTAGCACTGGTTGGTGCAAAGAACATACTCAAGAGTATTTCAATAAACTAAAAAGCTTCCAAACACAATCAATCTTAAAATAAATTTGTATAAAACTTTCTAAATCAGGATTATAAAGAGAGAGTATTTGCTCCAGTTATTCAAGTAGCAAAAGCCCTTCCATATACTCCAATATACCAAGACAATCCAAAAATAAAGGATTATCATATATTCTCCATTCCTGCAATAGCCGATGATGATCTTGAGACTTCATGGCAATTAAAATCTTCACCAGATTATCTCTCTAGAAAAACATCAATAAGTTTGTAACACTGACCATTTTACACAGACCCACATGTAATCAAATTTTGTGGGAGAGAGTAAATGTGAAGAGGATTTAATCAATGCCTGAAATATCCTAACATGTTCTTGTATCTATAAAACTTGTTGGAATATCTCTGAAACATCAGATTTTCTCTAGATATGTTATACAGAAATAACTTTTATCTGATTATCTAAACATAACATCAACATGCGGTCAAACTGTAACCAATAAAAAGATACTGAATGGAGCAAAGTCTGACAGACTTTGTTTCAAAAAAATAAAATAAATTAAGATTTAGCCATATTTTAAAATTTGTTACAAATGGCTATAAAGTTGCTAATGGTTTAAATTGCTAATAGCGTAATAATGGCCTAATTTGCTATTATGGCCAAAGTTAAAATAGTTCAAGTTGCAAATGGCTAAAGTTGCAAATGTCTCAAATTCCCCAATAGCTTAAATGATAAAGAACAAATTTGTTAAAGGTCCAAGTTAAATGTAAGCTGAAAATTATGAATGGCTATATATAAAGTTACAAATGTCTCACTAAGTTGACAATGGATTTAAATGAAAATGGTCCGAGTTCAAATGGTTCAATTTTACATTGACTCAAGTAAGCAATAGCTCAGGTTGCCAATGGCTCAAGTTCACATTTGTTTCAAGGTGACAATAGCTGGTTGCCAATGAATCAAGTTTACACTGACTCAAGGTGAAAATAGTTGGTCACCAATGGCTCCAGATGACATTGACTCAAGTTGCCAATGGCTATATGTTACCAAAGGCACAGGATGACATTGTTTCAAGTTGCCGATGGCTCTATGTTCACATTTGTTTCAGCGGTGACAATAGCCTGGTTGCCAATGAATCAAGTCACATTTGTTCAAGGTGACAATAGCTGTTTGCCAATGAATCAAGTTCAATTTGTTTTCAAGGTGTGACAATAGCTGGTTGCCAATGAATCAAGTTCACATTTGTTTCAGGGTGACAATAGCTGGTTGCCAATGAATCAAGTTCACATTTGTTTCAAGGTGACAATAGCTGGTTGCCAATGAATCAAGTTCACATTTGTTTCAAGGTGACAATAGCTGGTTGCCAATGAATCAAGTTCACACTGACTCTAGGTAAAAATAGTTGGTCACCAATGGCTCCAGATGACATTGACTCAAGTCGCCAATGGCTCTATGTTACCAAAGGCACAGGATGACATTGTTTCAAGTTGCCGATGGCTCTATGTTACCAAAGGCACAGGATGACATTGTTTCAAGTTGCCGATGGCTCTATGTTACCAAAGGCACAGGATGACATTGTTTCAAGTTGCCGATGGCTCTATGTTACCAAAGGCACAGGATGACATTGTTTCAAGTCGCCAATGGCTCTATGTTACCAAAGGCACAGGATGACATTGTTTCAAGTTGCCGATGGCTCTATGTTACCAAAGGCACAGGATGACATTGTTTCAAGTTGCCAATGGCTCTATGTTACCAAAGGCACAGGATGACATTGTTTCAAGTTGCCAATGGCTATATGTTACCAAAGGCACAGGATGACATTGTTTCAAGTTGCCGATGGCTCTATGTTGCAAATCATGTCAGAGTAACTTTTACCAAGTCATACAGATTAGAGGGCACAATATCAGTTTGTTTGTTTTTTATGACAAAATTTAAAAAGAAAAAATCTTACAATTCATGATCAACTTGTAATAGATTTATATATTCTAATTATTTCATTTTGATTAAGGTTTCCAAAAATAGTCTTATAAGAAAGTTTACTCACAAAATGTGAAAATTTCCTTTCTAGGAAAACAATTAAGTTCTCCTTTTCTCTTGATTACACATTAATCTTTTTATTTAAAACAAGATAAAGATACAAACTA